TATATATATATATATATATATCTATATATATATATATATATATATATATATATATATATATATATATATATATATATATATATCAATTAGTGACAGAATAAAATGTTTTGTTTTTGGTCAATTTTGAAAGCTGTTTGGGGGATTATTTTATGAGGCCAAACTCTTTTTACTTTGATGTAGGCCTATACTGAAAGGCTAAATACGTTAAAGCCTACCTAATCACTGTAGCCTGACGGATGAACAAAAACAATTAAAACCTTATGAATAAATAGGATATCTTGTAAGATAATGCATGTTCCAAATATAGTATTATTTGATACATTTGGTAAGTTTTCATTACATTTTGGGCTTGAAATCCAGGCTGAATCCACCCTTCTGATGGGATCAGTTTAATCCAGGTTTTTTGGATCAAAGTGATCCAAATCCTACAAAAAAGGTCTGATAACCCCAAACTAAAGGTTTGATCTGGATCAAAACCAAGATTGGATTATGTGATCTAATCCGATTATGTAATCGTTTTTTTTCTTTTGAAAAACCCATTTTCAAGATTTGATCCAATGCCTTATCCAAAATCTTAGTAAAACTGGGCCCTGGTCACTAGCACCTAAAGCACTTAACAGTAAATGAAATAATAACAGGCAATAACCTTAATGCTCTCTGTCTCACTGAAACCTGTCTGAAACAGAATGACTATATTAGTTTAAATGAAGACACACCTTCAGGATTCTTATGTAAGAATGAGGCTCGTCAGACTGCTCGTGGTGGTGGAGTTGTATTAATGTTTAATGATATTCTTAATGTTAATTTTGATGTTATTTTTGAAGTTTGTTCCTCGCCACTGTAGCCACTGGCATGCTTGGTTTGGGATTTGTGGAGCTGCCCATCGATAGTTTTGCTCTTTAATGTTTGAACCTTCAGCAGTGAAATTTAAACCACATGGAACTGAACTAAACTAAACTCCAATTCTGAAGACTGGACTGACATTGCTTCAATTTACTAGAACTTCTTTGTTAACCTGCTTTGACACAATCTGCTCTGTAAAAGACTCAACGGACTGTTTTCCATTACCCCTGTTCCCATCCCCTCTGTCTATGTTGTGTCTTGCCGGTGTGCTTATGCTAACATAGGGCTGTTTTTCTCCCTTTTTTCACTTTGTCCTAATCAAGGGCAAGCTGAGGGGGTGTTTTTTAGCCTAACTGTCCAAATGTATATTTCTTCGTTTCTAAATGCTACCTCCTATGATCTGTCTCCCCTGAAAAGTTGTTTGTGGTGTTTTGTGTATGGTCTGGGGGGTCCAATTTCGCTATACAAAAGTGTAGTGACAAATAAAGGCTTAATTGATTGATTGATTGATTGGTTGATTGATTGATTGATTAAAAGCACTATAGAAATAAACATAAACTTAATTAAATTCCTTGCTTTAGCTGTTTGGTTTTTTGTTTGTTTGTTTGATACACATTTTAAAAAAATGTATGCCAAAGGTTTGGTTTCTGTGCTGGCTTTGCTGTGGAAAAATGCTTTTAGACATCTATATAAACAGGAGCACCCAGAGGAAACCTACGCGAACACAGGGAGAACATGCAAACTACCCACTTCGCCACTGTACAGCCCTTTATATTTATTCAAAATGTTTTTTTTTTTAAATGCCACCTCAAAGCATATAATATAGCCATATTTTAAAACATTTGCCCACATGTTAAAGAAATTCTTTAAAACACCTAAAGCAAGGACCATTCTTCTAAATCAGGAACATGCGTTATGGGAAGACGTTTATAGAGGAAAATGGAATGCTTAATATCACCTAATCTCATTCGAGAACTCTTTCTCCTGTCGATTCCAGTTACATCTGAAGACGAGGAGCCAGATAATGAGCAGGACGATCATGATGAGTAGTAAACAGCCAACAACAGTGCCTGTTATCACTCCTGCTCTATTAGGAGCTGTGGATGATTCAGAAAAAAAGGATAATGAAGGATAACTGGTGTGATGAGCGGAGGAGTGTGTTTATGCGCTTGACTTACGCTTTACAGCTTGAAGGGTTAGTCGGCAGCTTTCTTTCCCTACAGCATTGGAAACCTCGCAGGAATACACACCGGTGTGACTTGTGGAGAGATTACTGATCAGAAGTTCTCCCGTGAGGGAATCTAAATACAAAAAAGAAAAGGAAAACACAATTTATGATAATATACATAATAACACTTTTAAACTGTAGAATTGGGTAGGCTAAATTGTCCGTAGTGTATGAGTGTAAATGTGTGTATGGATGTTTCGCAGAGACAGGTTGCAGATGGAAGGGCATCCGCTGCATAAATTAAGATTGATACAGGAACTAAGCCGAAAAGAAAATGAATGAATGAAACTGTATACTAACATAATGTTTTTAAAGACCTATTTCCCTCCCTAAAAAAGATGTTAATAACTGTTTCATATTTTATTCAAAATATTGTTTTGTTTCCACATTAATAATTATTTTCAGACACAATCAGAAGAATGAAAATCAATATGTGTGAATGGTATTGTGGAAATCATTATGAATAAACATAATAACAAAATTATGTTACTAAATAACAGTTTTATTCATTCATTCATTTGCTTTTCGGCTTAGTCCCTTTATTAATCTGGGGTCGCCTCAGTAGAATGAACCGCCAACTTATATGTTTTACGCAGTGGATGCCCTTCCAGCCACAACCCATCACTGGGATACCCATACACACTCATCTGCACACATACATACACTATGGACAATTTAGCATACCCAATTCACCTGCTCTGCATGCCTTTGGGGGAAACCAAAGCACCTGGAGGAAACCCATGCAAACGCAGGAAGAATATGCAAACTCCACACAGAAATGCCGACTGACCTAGCCAAGGCTCGAACCAGCGACCTTCTTGCTGTGAGTTGACAGCACTACCAACTGTGCCACTGCTTCACTACAGTTTTATATATTACCTTTTTTTTAGTTGCCAAATATTTTAATATAATATAATATAATATAATATAATATAATATAATATAATATAATATAATATAATATAATACAATATAATATAATATAATATAATATAATATAATATAATATAATATAATATAATATAATATAATATAATATAATATAAAATTTTATGTGAACAAAATTACTCAAATGATAACAATGAAGATTGAATATAAAAAATAACAGCAAATAAAAAAAATATAGGCAACAAAGTGGCGCAGTAGGTAGTGCTGTCGCCTCACATTAGGAAGGTTGCTGGCTCGATCCTCAACTCAGTTGGTGTTTCTGTGTGGAGTTTGCATGTTCTCCCTGCGTTCGCGTTGGTTTCCTCCGAGTGCTCCGGTTTCCCCCGCAGTCCAAAGACATGCAGTACAGGTAAATTGGGTAGGCTAAATTGTCCGTAGTGTATTAATGTGTGTGTGTTTCCCAGAGATGGGTTGCGGCTGGAAGGGCATCCTCTGCGTAAAAATGTGCTGGATAAAATGGTGGTTCATTCCGCTGTGGCAACCCCAGATTAATAAAGGGACTAAGTCGACAAGAAAATGAATGAATGAATGAAATAAAAAATATTAAAACTGCTATACAAACACTGATCTGTGCATGGACAATATTTATAATATACCTGTATATCAACATTTGACTCTAAATTCCATACAAAAACTATACATGACTTTTAATTTCCACATGGAATCTCTCTTTCCCAATGATGTTTAAGTATGTCTGATAATATTTTTTTTCTTATGGGGAAATTCTTATTTGTTACATTTCAGCTGAAATAAAATAAATTTTATTTTTTTTTAAGAATCATTTTAAGGTAAAAAAAATTATTAGCCCTTTTAAGCTATATTTTTTTCGATAGTCTACAGAACAAACCACCGTTATAGAATAACTTATAGCTAATTACCCTAACCTGCCTTAACTTAATTAACCCAGTTAAGCCTTTAAATATCACTTAAGCTGCATAGAAGTGTCTTGAAAAACATCTAATACAATATTATTTACTGTCATCATGGCAAAGATAAAAGAAATCAGATATTAGAAATGAGTTATTAAAACTATTATGTTTAGAAATGTGTTGAAAATCTGCTCACTGTTAAACAGAAATTGGGAAAAAAAATGGGGGCTAATAATTCAGGGAGCCTAATAATTTTGACTTTAACTGTATATACTGTATATTACCTTGCTTTGTTAAATATCATTTGGGAAATGTTTAAATAAGTGCCTTAGTGCTCCCACCAGTGCCAATATACAGCCATATCGCACTGCTACGAGTGTGATATTGCGTTTATACAACAGTTTGACGGCGTAATTGTGTATATAAAAACAAAATCAAACATGGAGAGTCTCAAAAACCCTTTTGTATGAGGAACTACTTTCTTCCGCCTTGGATTCAAATCATAAGCTGACAGTTAAACAGCTGAGCAAGCATCTTTTAAACTTTAGATCTGTAGTGTCTGCTTTTTGCTGGTTGTAAGTGGGCGTAATACACAAAGGGTATAAAGAGGCTTTACGCGTGCTGATATTACTTAAATATATCACGCCTATCAGCCAATCAGATTCAAGAACCAGACAGAACTGTTGTATATATATATATATATAGTTGAAGTCAGAATTATTATCCCCCTGAATTATTTGCCTCCCTGTTTATTTTTCCCTTTTTTTTGTTTAACAGAGAGAAGATTTTTTTCAACTCATTTATAAACATAATATTTTAAACAACTTATCTTTAGTAACCATTTTATTTTATCTTCGCTATGATGACATTAAATAATTTGTGACTAGATATTCTTCAAGACACTTCTATACAGCTTAAAGTGACATTTAAAGGCTTAACTAGATTAACTAGGTTAACTAGGCAGGTAAGGGTAATTAGGCAAGTTATTGTATAATAATGGTTCGTTCTGTAGACTATTGAAAATAAAATTTGTCTAAAGGAGCAAATAATTTTGTCCTTAAAATGGTGTTTACAAAATTAAAAACGGCTTTTATTATAGTCAATTTTTTTTTTTTAAATCCTAGACTTTCTCCAGAAGAAAAAACAAATATTATCAAACATACTGTTATTTGGGAAATATTATCAAACTATATCGTTTGGGAAATATTTAAAAAAGAGAAAAAAAATAAATCAAAGGGGGGCTAATAATTTTGACTTCAACATTTTAAATAAAATCACTGTTAAGTCTTACTCTTATTTATTTATTTATTATTTTCCAGTTATGGGTTGCAGCTGGAAGGGCATTCATTCATTCATTCATTCCCTTAAAAACTCTGCCTATTGTGCCATCTTGAAATATTATTTGAAATATATTTTCCCCTAATAACCATACACCTAATAAACTGATATATAACACATATAGAAGACTTTAATTGATTGCAAACAGCGTCATTTAGATATCAAAATAAAAATAACATAACTAAACTATTAATCTGATGCCCTGTATATCACTTCAGGCCAGGGTCTCAAAACTGAAGTCAAAGTAGCGTGTAATAATAACAGTACATCGCCAGCAGCCAGCAGGGGTCACCCTTACTCTGAGTGGCGTCTGCAGGAATCGCTCCTCCGCTCTCTCTCCTCCATGAGTACAGCAGCGGCGCGGAGCCCTCGTCTGATCTGCAGCGGAGAGACGCCGCTTCACCCACTCCTCCACCGCCATCAATCCAGCAATTCGGCACAGACGGTCTCACTGCCACAGAGAGAGACGCAAATAACTCTTATAATTCACCCATACAACGGTTTTAAACTGTTTGAATAAAATGCTTTGTGCAATTCTAGGGAATCAAAAGCACTGCTGACAGAAATGCCGCACGACTGCTTTCCTCAAGTACTCTTCCGTTCATAACAAACCTAAAGAAGCCCTAAACACAATTTATTAGTTTGTTGGGAGTTTAATAAAACACCTCAATGGCTGAGACCTGCTGTGAATGCAAGGTGAGGTCAGTGCATATTAGCCTAACGTTATTTAAAAGATTACAACTTGTAAAAACGCTATGTATATCCTCGTTAAACTGATTAGACCTCGCAAATTTGGATATTTCTGTGAGCTATTTTTACCATGTAGCTGCTGTACGACTTGACTTTTCCATTAATTTAATTATTGACATTGCTTAGACAGAGCTTAGAATAAAACATGTCGTCATTTTGAATGTATATGGTAATTTTACCATTACTTACAGCATGATTTTTTAAGTCTCCATTAAATCAAACCACACCATGGAAGAAGCCATCTTGATTACATATTTGACATTTTACTTAGTCATAAATAAATTAGCAAATTGCTAAAAAGGAACGATACAGTCTAGATTCTTTAAAATACTTCCAAGAGTTTAACACACCAGTCAGTTATACTGGAGACCTTGAAGTTACATAAAAAAAAAATGTAATCCAGAACAAAACAAATGCTCCATGCAAATTTGCATAGCTACTATCCATCCTAAATAGTATTCAAAAATAGAATTATTATGTCCCAAACCATAGTATGTTGAAAATCCAAAGAAGCGTCCATACCGCTAATATTTTCCACAATGTGGTATATGCCAAAGCTTGCTAATAGGACTTTTAATTTGCCAGTAACCTGGGTTAAGCGCTTCCGGCGAATTGAATGCCAATGCAAAATCCGGTGCGTTTAAGGTCTGTTTTCTTTAAAAATCAGCGATCTCCACTAGCTGAGTGATATTCGGTCTCAGATTGTACAAGAAACAGTGCATTAAATTACATTTCCCCCGCCATATCTTTATAATATGAGCATTTATTTTACCCCTGTATATTCAATGGAGCTTCTGCGTTAGCCTGCCGATCCTGCCGATTCTGAGTAAACAGCTTTTTGTCTCGTTTTACGCTTGAGCAACTAAATAAATGCTAAAGTTTATTTAACTGAATGTATTTTAATGACATTACAACATCGATGCTGTATAAGGAACCGTATAAAATGGAAAAAAGTTCACAATAACAGGTCACCGGAAGTGTATCAGCATGGGAACAGCACTAGCTCGGTATATACCCTATACATTGCATGTTGGACGTGAATTTTATTAGAACTACAAACTCAGGTAAAAAAGTGTAAACAAACTACAAACATGGCAGACACGCAAGACTAACCGTCAGGTACAGAGACTTCAGTAAAGCTGTGAATTACTTAATCAATATGTAGCCAACAGGAAAATATTTAAACCATGTTTTCCATGTTACGTTTCATGTGCAACAGCAATGTGAACTAAGGATCAAGATATTTGGACATTAACGTCTGAATACATAATTACCCAAAGACCTGAGGAGATTCTCTGCATGAAAGAATCGCAAATGGCAGATTATCCTGCTGCTGCTTCTCCAGTAAGGAGAGTAATTAAATATGAAAGAAATGTGGAAGATGTGTTGAGATGATCGATATGTGACATAACTAAGCAACATAAAAATCTGTTATCTGTCCCAAAGCTTGCATAATCCTCTGTTACACACTTAAAAGTATATAGCCTACCTTTCCTTCCCAAAAAACGACTTACTTTTAATGCATAGTATACATGTTTACATGTGAGTGAGTGGTGAGTGGCCAATAAAGTGGCTTGACCAATAAAAGCTGCTGTGCATTCCAGTCTGAAGATCCTATGTGAGACTAATTTATTAATTCTGCTGGATCACAGCTCTGCATTTGACATGACTTGACTTTGCTATTGGGTTGAAAGGATGTTTTTTAGGCGACGTGGTGGCGCAGTCGCCTCACAGCAAAAAGGTTGCTGGTTCGAGCCTCGGCTTGAGTCGTTTGAGGCGTTTCTGTGTGGAGTTTGCATGTTCTCCCCGCGTTCGTGTGGGTTTCCTCCGGGCGCTTTGGTTTCCCCCACAAGTCCAAAGAAATACGGTACAGATGAATTGGGTAGGCTAAATTGTCCGTAGTATGTGAGTGTGTATGAATGTTTCCCAGGGATAAGGATATACGATGCGTAAAACATATGCTGGATATTAATAAAAAGATTAATAAAAGGACAAAAAGAAAAATGTATGAATGAATGGATCTCTTTTAGTGTATATTTACACAACAAAATTAACAATTTACTGAGTGACTACTTACATCTCATACTGTATCTTAAGCAGCACAACTATAATCTTGGGCAGTCCTATAGTCCACCTTTGTTGTCTTGGTTGCCAAGTTGTCAAATAGATTAACATATAATATGCATTTGCATAATGTTACCATTTTCACTAAATATTTGTTTGTTTGTTTGTTTGTTTGTTTACATGGAGATGATAATTTTAAGATGAAACTATTTTAGGCTCCCAAAACTCTTCCCAAAAATTGTAATTTAACTGAACAGCCAACAGACAAAAAGAGCATGTCTGATAAACCATTTTGACTCGTCTGTTTTCTCTGCTGCTCACCAGGGTTGCAGGGTTGGTTTCCATTTTTAAATATAAATTTGAATATTTATCAAATGTTATGTGTCCTCTGGTGGTTATCCAGATGACATTGCATGCTCTGTTAACATGTTAACATGAGCCATGTGCATTTGTTGGCTTGTTTAGAGGATTATTAAAATGTGGAAGTCTGCTATTTTGATTTTTACATCTAAATTATAACAAAAGCAAGATGCCTGACTCCTCATCCTTAATTACATCACCTTGAAACTTAAAAAAAATAACCTTAACCTAACTCAAGAATCTGTGTGCATTGCTACAGATTTGAATCCTGGCAAGTAAACTGTTAGATCTTGTGTTTTCTATCTCCATCTGCTGATCAAAGTTAAGCCTTTCCCTTTTTCTCAAACCTTTGAATAGGACATTTCTGCCACTTTTTGTATTCTGATTTAAACACCATTACCCTAGGTTAACTCCAGCATTTCTAAAAGTTTTATTTTTAATGTTTTGTTGTTTTGTTTGTTTTATGATGCATTGTAAAGCACATTCATATCCTTTGATTTTAACCAATTGGTAACATAATTTCTTCGTCCCAGCTTTAATTAGCACAGATATAGCCAGTGTCCTGAAAAGCGTAACTGAAACTGAAGCTTTTCAAAGCTGTTTGAGCACAAGCAACATTTTTGGAACAATTATAATAAGCTGCTGAAGTAGATTGGAACGCTCTTAGATGTCCAAAATAGCTGCCAAGAGACGTTGCAAACATGACCACCAAGTAAACACATTTCTTAAATAAAATCCGTACAAATAAACAGCCATCCAATCCATTCCCAATTGACAAAATCAAGTCCTGATTTTCAACCATTTTTTGCTCAAAAAACCTGTTCAGTTTTGGAAATACATGGCTACAGGATTGGAACGATTATCAGAAATCTTCATTTATGCCATACTTAAATCAACAGAGCTGTGTTTTGATAGGATTTTAACACATTGGTTTGTTTGTTGTTGTCTTGCTTTAGCTAACCAACACATCTGCTAAAGTTAAGTAGGAGGAAAAATTCACCCCACTGGCTTTACTCCACTTTTATGAGTTGATGTTAAAATCCTTTTATTTGCTTACAAGTGTTTGAATAATCTTGCATATCTCATCTCTCTGATGTTTTAGTTTTACATAATCCCTTTAGAGCTTTCAGATCAAGGACACGAATACTTTTCTCTGTTCTTCTGTACAAAGTGGACACGGTGTCTTTGCTGTATATACTGCAAGACCCTACATTTTGAAACAGCCTGCCATTTCTGATTAAATCTATAGTTTTCATCTTACTTCTTTACACTTTAACATTTTATTCTATAAATTAATAAATAACTAACTTTTATTCTATATATTTGTTCTTACTTGTATTTGATTTCTAGATACACTTTTCCATATAGCAGTGATTATTCAATAGGTATACTTATCATTTACCTATTTCTGCTATTTTTCTAGGTAGTAAATTTCTAAAAGACACCATAATTGTCATAAGATACTAGCTGTTTCCCCTTTTTTATGACAAATGTAATGCATCAGATGTAGATCTATCTCACAGTATTATGTTTTGTACTAAGATTCAGAATTATTGGAATGGAATTTTTCAAGTGCTTTCCAAGGTGTTGAAGTTGCAATTACAACCAGATCCAATGCTTTTAATTCTGGGATTATCTGGACAAACACATTTGTTGTCAAATACACAACATAAATTGCTCTCGTATAGTTACTTCCAAAAAGCTATTGCTACTGTTTTGACAAAAAAAAAAAATCTAAGCGTCTGTTATATGTGAACAAAGTATGTAAACACAGATTTTTTTTTCTTTCTGAATCTGTGTCTTTAATAAAACTTATTTGACAAAAAAGATAGCTCTTATGGCATACTGCCATTTATTCATTAGATATTAGTCATTTTTAGATATAAGTTATTACTTGTTAGCTATTAGTTCCTTAATAGCTAATACTTTTCATTAGATACTACTACTTGCTTCAGTATATAGTGTCAAGTAACTAATCTGTTTGCCATAAAATAAATACTCTTACTATTACGGTAACACTTTAGTAACCGATTCTCACTGTTAACTGGTGACTTATTATCTGCTACTTATTATCTTACTATCTAATCCAAATTAAGATATTCTCTGTTTAGTACTTATAAAGTTCATATTCTGCATTATATTATTCTACATCCCTAATACCAACGCCTAAAGCCAACTTAATAACTATTGATAAGCAACAGCACACGAGAAGGACGTGTAAACGGCCCAAATTATAAGCAAACGTGGCCCATTATTGTATTTGAGACTGTCAAAAATGTACACAGCAGCTTCTAATGGATCGAGTGAATGTAGCCCAGAACATGTAATGGTTACCACAAATTTAGCCCTGGGCACATATCTGCAATGAGCCTGGGTTGTTTTCCTTTTATGTTGCTGTTCTGTCATTCTCTTTTATGTTGTTTGTTTAATGTTTTATGATGTACTATAAAATGTAAATAAATAGATCAAAAAGAGTTTGACATTGACTTTGGCCCAATCACCAGTTGGAAGGTGACTGTCATTTTAAACAAACACAACAATGTTTTGATAGTTCTGATCCGCATTAGTTTACTTAACGCTATCTTTTTTATATTTAACTGGCATAGAAAAAACAATTCCCCTTTTGAAAATACATAAATATCCAGTACAGTCTTGAAAAAAGTGACATTACCCATCACAACTAGTGATATTTTGCGGCTGTCAACCCCTGGTGCCTTTTTGACCTTGCACTGATATGTTCCAGCATGACTGTCAGTCAGAGAGGCTATAGACAGAGACGCATCTCCTTGACCAGGATCTGGAGCAGTGAAGTCCAGACCTTTCATCAAAGCAGGGTCGCCATAAGTATATCGCCTTCCTCCTGTGTATGATATGATCTAATGGACAACATATTACAAGATCGGTTTGCTGAAACCCAACATTTAAACACAAAACACTGTCACTGTAATTTAAGTTTTACTTGACATGCTATTCTGACTAGTATCCAATAAATGCTTACAATTATCTAATAATCAGTACTAGACCCAATTAGAATAACTACTAGTGTCTAATGAGTAAGTTCCTTTATTCCATAGTCTGATTCTTGATTCTGATTGGCTAGAAAGGTGTGCAATAAAATAGTTAATCGCACAGGTAGTTCTAGTTTAGTTTCAAGAATTAGTATTAACTACAGTAAAGTAACCCAGTAAAAGTTGCCTGAGACTTTATTTCTCTGTAATCTCGAAGATACTGATGTGTTCACTTAAAAAAAAAAAAAGATGTTAATCAATTTAATTTAATCAAACTCACAAAATATGCTCAAAAAACCTTGTGAAGAGGTAACTAACACACGTTACAGTAAAATTAGCTAATCCAAACAGACCCTTTTCACAAGACGGTGATGCCGTATTTTAACGGTCAGCCGAATCTTAACTTTTAATATCTTAAATAAAATAGAAAATGTGTGTAGAGTACATTTATGAAGCTATACTTTAATATAATCTTTTCTTTAAACTACAAACATAGTTAATGATTATGTGAGATCTTTTCAATGCAGAATTTACAGGCAGGTCAGTAAATCTAATATTGCTGATACTGCCATTATCATTCTCACACAATATTTTGGAAGTCGTGAGAACACTATCGTGGAGTATTTCTTTTGGTGTTGAATGCATAAAAAAGAGTGCTTATACACTGGAGCCAATGAGGATCAACCACATATGCTCAAAAATATTTGCTAAGAAGTAGCTAACACATGTTACTATGAGCTATTAGATATGCCCGTGTCATTTACATGCGTAAACATGATCTCTCTTGTGCTAGCGGTCTCTCTGATACTGCATGAGGTTGATTCAAAGCGGGGAGCTCTAACATGTCAGAACTGATAAAAATTAGATGACTATGGAATAAGAGGGATACTCAACAGTTTGCTAAGTGTTAATGACAATGACAATTTTATTTATATAGCACAATTTTTAAAACTTTTGTTGGCCAAAGTGCTTTACAACAAATCAGAAACAGAAAGCAGACAGAAAACCACAAACAGACTAATGATCTTACCTCATTACAGCCAAATTAATAAAAATGGTTAATAAAAAAATGTGTCTGGTGTGACTCCGCAACGCGCGTTTAAAATCCTTTAACCCTCTGCAAATTATCTCTTACATATCTAATGATAATAGTTAGTAATGAAGAAGTACTAGACTGTAAAAAATATGATCAGTTAGTCCTGATAGCATATGTGTTTAGGTCACTGTAACACTATCAAGGTCAATCATCTTTTAACTTAATTTTATAAGTAACACAAAGTGTTTTAAATCAGTTTAACTTAATATAAGTCCAATGGACTTATAAGGTTAATTTGATTCAGTTTAAAAAATAAGGCATCTAGGATTTTTACAGCGTATATTATCTTTTATGAAAGAATAAACAGCCAAAAAAACAGCAATTGCAAAAATACACCAGCCTTCTGCCATTCATTTTATAGATTTGAATACACTACGTTAAGTCTGACATCAGTTTCTGTGTTCAAATGCTCTATCAGATGCTAAAAGTTAACCCCTAACAGTATTAATATATCCTTACAGTGTGCTGTTTTACTATTGAAAATCATGAATCATGATGTTTATGCTCAATCTTGAATGGTCAGACATTGAACAATCTTAAACTGCTCAAACATTTGGTGACTAACACAATAGTATCTGGATGCAGACTTGGATTTGCAAGCTGAGACTGCATATCACAGACTTGCAATTTCAGACACAATGCACTCAGTGGAGCTGGTGACATCAGTGTGAGAGTTGGGGTTTGGTGGGGCATTCAAAAGCATTGCATGCAGCTCATCTTGCAACTACTAAGATACAGCAAGTCCAGAAACATTGGTTTACACTATGGTTTTGTAAATATCTGCTTTAATGTGCTGTGTGATTAAGCAGTGATCATAAACGGCTATTGAGATAGATCTTCCTCAATTTAAATGAGTGGAGGCTTGGATCCAGTAGCATACATTTTTCATACGTTATCACATCAAAAACTGACAGGCTGCTTTACGCACCATCTGGTCTTTTTTGGTGGTGTCTGGGCTGATGACTGACCACTCAATGTCAAGCTCTCCTGTGTCTGCTGGACCAGACGAGTAGGTGCAGTCTAGTGTAACAGATTCTCCTTGAGCCATTTGCATCGTCTGCGGGCCACTGGAGGTCACTTTCATCGCCACTGCCACGTCTGCTAAAAAATTCAGATATTAACAGTTCTAAAGAGCTCTTCAGTCAGAAAAGAAAACACAGAGGTTAATAGATATCTGTTCCTGTATATTTGCATTTGTAGAATTTGCAATTGTAAAATTTCTTTTGTGTGTGTGTGAATAAATGAGTATAATAAGGCTGTGGTTATATAAAACTGTTTAGTAATATATTACACTATGAAATACATTTCTGCCACAGTTTTGTTTTCATGCTTTTTGGTAAGACACAATTATGCCATTAAAAAAAAACCTAAATTTATAAATTAAGGAGTACTGATATTAAGAGGAAACAAGTATGACAAAGAAAAATGTGAAGACAAAGACTGAAATAATTAGCTAAAAAGTGAAAATTATTAGATATTATAACAGAAAGTTTACATTTATGAAATATTACTTTATAATTATGACTTTGTTATGAGATATTAAATAGTAATTGAATAAAAGCAATGGCCATTTAATACACACAGCCACATCTCAAATATTTTAATATATTTACAAAATGGCTATAAAATAACCTCACATAATAATATTACTTGAAGTCCTGATGTAAACGATTCTTAGTAAACTAGAAAACTTAGAAAACACTATTATTCTAAAACTCAAATTATAAATACTTTATGTTGTACTTTAACCACAGGCTATATTTGAACAAATCAATTGAAAAGTGCTATTTTAAAAAACAATTTCAGAGTGAAAATGCTAACTCTTAATTCTACAAAAGGAGAACAGAGAGAGAACTTTTTAAAAATAAACAGATTCCTAAATTTTTCAAATTTTTTGTAAAAAAAAAATGTGTATGTTCTACAGACTTTGCATTTATATATGTGTATGTATATATATATATATATATATATATATATATATATATATATATATATATATATATATATATATATATATATATATATATATATATATATATATATATATATATATATATATATATATATATATATATATATATATATATATATATATATAAATATATATACACACATATATATACATATAGATATAAAT